GCCCAGAGCACAGGACCTCAGATAGTACATTCCTGGTGTTCATGTCACATGGCCTCCTGGATAGACTCTGTGGGAAACAGCACAGCGATGAAAACCCAGACGTGCTACCTTATGACACCATCTTTCGGATATTCAACAATCGCAACTGCCCCAGTCTCAAGGACAAACCTAAGGTCATCATTGTCCAGGCCTGCAGAGGTGGTGAGTTCTGATAAGGAAACTCCAAAGAGCATGAGGTGTTTGCAGTGGATTGTGATGTATGTTTTGCTTTTAGGGGAAACAATCCTATACCACATTCAGTGCAAATAAAGTGAATTGAATTCTTGGGAAATGCCAAGGGGAGTTGGTATCATGAGAGATTGTCTTTTCAGCTAAGAAATATTTATTCAATTTAATCAAAGGTAAGTGGTGAAGGAGATCTTCAGAATCCCTAAGTCAAAGTTGAACACAAATATCTAAACCTTGGAATAAGATCATTTTAATGACATCTGTACATGTGTTACAGGTGTTTTGCCATTCTCCGACTCGAGAAGAGTGTCATTGGAAAGTGGGGCTGTTCTATAGTAGCAGCACCCTTTTCACCTCATGCGTTTTTGAAAGGGAAGTGAGTAGGGAGATGTGGGCACTTGGGATTGCTGGCAACATTTCCTTTGCTTTTTTCTGAATTCAAATTGCCTCTTAGTGTTTTGGAGCAGTGTTTGGAAGAAAAAGCAGAAATAGCCTAGATGAAAAATGGTAACTAGGCTCTGAAATATTGCAGATAAGGTTTTAGGCCCTTTGCTCTTCTTAGGAAGGAGGTTCTTCCACTTTACTGATGCTATCACTATTTTCTGGTAAGATGCTGCCACTATTAATTGGCACATAAAGATACTAGAGAGAGACCAAGGTATTTGTGTGGGGGCAAGGGTTTGGCGTGTGTATGTATGCATGTGTGTACGAAATTGTTGAGAAACATTTAAAAAGAATGAGGCAGACAATAGTGACAGTCATACTGATAGAGGCACACAGTTTGCACAGAGTTAATGTCTCCACAGAAAATCGCGGGGAATTGTGGGTCAGTGACTCTCCAGCAGCCGTGACAGACAGCTCTTCCCAGTCACCTGAGAACCTGGAGGACGATGCCGTTTACAAAGCACACGTGGAGAAGGACTTCATTGCTTTCTGCTCCTCAACCCCACGTAGGTCTTTCAGTTACAGACAAGGGTTGTGCGCCTAAGGCCACCTCAGAATGATTCTGGAATATTGAGGTAGGCTCCCTGCATCAGTGATGTAAGACACATTTTGAGGGCTGTCAAAACAATTTACACTTATCTGACCTATTCTATGGAAACAGAGATTCTATATTTTCCACTTTTTAAAACTGTACTTTTATTCTAAGTGCTGCACTTTACGGTCAAAGGTATACCACATACTAAACCTAATACAAGTTCCCCATACACCATTTAAAAAACAAATTTGATTCCATTTTCTATCAAATCTCTTTAACATTTTGGATAGAGTTTTAGTGGATCCAGACACTGGCTGCCATCCTTAAATTATCAACACCAACTCCTTTTCTCCATGGTTCTCATTTGATGTTTTTAGAGGGAGCCATTGCAAGGCTCAGCAGGATGAGGAGATCCTTTAAAAGAGGTAGAAATTATACCCTGGGGCTTAGCAGGCCTAATAATAGGGATCAGTGTTTAGTCCTTGACGTCTAGGTAGTCATGTTAAGAAGCCTCTAACATTTGAATGTTTCTACTTTGCAAATTTTTGTATTAAGTCCTTTCTATTTGTTACCATTTCATGGACTTATTTTTTTTTTCCTCATCCAAGGAGTCATATTTTTTCCATTAATTTAAGAGACAGTGGAAAGGACGGGGAGGGGAGGGAAAGGAAAGGGAGAGAGAGAGAAACATCCATGTGACAGAGACACATCAATTGGTTGCCTCCCTCACACACCCTGACCAGGGGGCAGGGATCTGACCTGCAACCCAAGTATGTGCCAGTGACCAGGCATGCAACCCGAGACCCTCCAGTGTGGAGACCATGCTCTAACTGAGCAACACCAGTCAGGCCTCATGGAGGTTTGATTGACATACAAAATGCTGTATATACTTAATGTATGCAACATAGTGAGTGGGATGTAATATACACCAGTGAAACCATGACCACAATTTCCTTTGGATTTGTTCACCCACTTCGCTTATAATATTGTGAAAGACAGAATGCTATACACTCTGTAAACCACCTAGAAACCAGGGAGCCATTTGGTGTTGCTTACTGTATAAGCTTGGGGAAATTCTTTAATCATCTGAAGGTCTATTCTTTCCTCTCTAAAATGGGGTAATTTCAGTTATCTCTCAAGCCTCTTTTCAAAAACAAGTGAATGAACATGAAGCACACAGTAAGAGTCAGGTCCAAGAATATAATGCAATCATGAAATTCTGGTGAGTTATTCCTTTAGTTAAATCTTTGCCAGTTTTTTTTTTCCTATTTTCTCCTCTTTTTGGAAAATTAGTTAATGTAGAGATATAAGTGTTTCCCCCAAACATGTCAAGTTATTTCCAAAGCTATGCTTAAAAAACACAAAAGCTACATAAAAAATAAAATAAGATAAAATAAAAAACCATTGAGAAAAAAAAAATTCAAGGGCGCAGCCCTAAACTGACCACTCCTTAACTTCACAGATAACGTGTCCTGGAGAGACCCTAGTAAAGGTTCTCTCTTCATCACAAAACTAATCAGATGCTTCAAGAAGTATTCTTGGCGCTGTCACCTCGAGGAAGTATTTCGGAAGGTAAGCTTTTTCTTCTTCCTTTTCCAATCCTGTGTGCTGGAAGACTCTACTATTATTCTTATTTCAAATGACAATGACAGACTTTGTCAGGCAAACAAAAGTAGAGCAGTGCCTGGTTTCCCTTATCCAGGGGTTGACGTCTGATTTAGGAAAAGAAGATGTCAACGCAAAATTGCACAAGATCAAAATAGAACAAAATAATATAACCTGTAAGCTTATTTGTTATGGGCTATACATTATTTTAAGTCAAAGATTGGAAAGTATTTTGAGTTGATTTGTATGGCTTTCTTTATTGAATAAATATATATTGGGTGTTATCATACTTTGTAATTATTGCTATCCTGTGACACAGGTGTAAGTGAGATATTGTGTCATAAGGCCACTCAGGACCTTTTTGTGAGAGAGATGGATTCGAAACAAGTAGACCAGCAAACACATGTGTCACTGCAGATTGCGATAGGCTCCATTACACAAAGGATCTAGGGCAGGTGAAAGAAAAAAGGGAGAAATATTCTTTAAATGGAGTGATCCAGAAAGGAAGACTAAATTCCTTTCCCACCTCAGGAAATTCCTTATTCCCCCCTTCCTCCTAATTTGTTTTCCTCCAGGGTTCTGAGCACCACTCATTCAGCATAGATTCTGTTTGTTTTCAACCTGTACTTACTCACTTGAATGCAAGCTTCATGAAGGTAGAAATGTGCTCAACACCTCAACATGTTGGCACATAGGAATTGATATTCATTCAATAAATCAATGCATGAATATCAATATCTTTCTCCCTTTAGGGTATCAAGAATATGGGGCAGTTTTATTTTTATTTTTTAAAATATACTTTTATTGATTTCAAAGAAGAAGGGAGAGGGGAGAGAGAGATAAAAACATCAATGATGAGAGAGAATCATTGATTGGATGCTTCCTGCATGCCCCCCACTGGGGATCAGCCTTGACCGAAATTAAACCCAGAATCCTTTAGTTCACAGACCAACGCTCTATCCACTGAGCCAAACCAGCTAGGGCTGTATGGTTGTTTTTAAATTAAAAACTGTAGAGAACAGTAGCACTCTGTGGGCAAAGAGGAACACAGCTTTAGTAAACAGGAGAAGATTGCATTGTAACTTGCATTAGGGTCTCCTTGAATGGGAACTTTGGAAATTAAGTCCTGTTGGATGAATAGGAATTAGACATTGTACTTTAGGGCATTGCTAGGAGAAGTCTAGAAATAGTGTGATCAGTGGGGAGAGGTCCTCATCCCCACCACTTGCTGGTGGGAGTGGGTGTGTTGCAATATCCTGAGAATTTTCTGAGGCTCACATGGGAAGGTGATATGTTATAGAAAGCTTCATTTCTGTGCAATTATACCCGGAGTTCCCAAGGTCCCATTTCCATTTGTCCTGTCAATAAGAAGTACCAGTTTGTTTTCGGCAGATCTGAAATCAAAGCCAGTGTCCAGAGTCTCTGTTCCATGTCTCCACAGTCAAATGGAGCATCAAGCTGGCTGATTTGTGTTTCCAGTTATAGTCCATTGCGTGTGAGGTCCACGTGGCTGTGGGCCATGCAGCTAAGGAGACAACAGGGGCAGGAACAAAGCCAGAGGAGCATGAGAGCCAAGAGAGCCACATAGGGAGTGAGCTTCTTATCGGCTTGTTTATGCATTCCCAAGTTGGTGCAGGCTTGTAATGGCCCTGCCTAGTCTAGCCAAAGCCATTGATCCCCAGGCTTGACTGACAGGTGCTTTCCCTTGTCACCCCAACTCCTTGTGCATGCACTCATCTCCCATTAGTTGGATCCCTTCCCCCAGTGGGCTGCAGGGAATGGGCTGTTGAAATTTCAGCTTCCTGGTGAAGTTGCCCAAATAACATGCCTGAAGTGTCTTGCTTTTAACCTTGCTCCTTTTCTATCATTAATAACTAATTGCAATGGTATCAATAGAATCTCATTTATCAGTCCATGACAAAATCTTCAGAGGTCAGCTTGTTGGTCAGGATGTCAAAGTTGTTGTGTTCAGGTTTTAAAACAACAATTGAGTTTGTGCCTTATTGAATTCAGGATTAACTTGCAGGTTGCAGGTAGAGCATTTTTGAGAGCCAGTTCTCATGAATTGTCTCTAGGAGATCAGTTAAGATCCGTAGATCTGAAATGCAAAATACAAAAGTGAACTTTGAAAGGCCTTGGGTTAGGCTTGAAGTGTTTATTTTGCGATAAAGTGTATATTCTGACATGTGGCGTTACTTCTAAACAGTAGGGTAACAGTGACAGGGAGTTAGAATATCCATTGGCTTGGTCCCTTCATTCCCAGAATATTTTGGCTCATGGTGTAAAATGTTTTCTGAGAGTGGATGAGTTATGTTTCATCTAGAACCTCTTTTTTTTTAAAAGGTTCAACTATCATTCGAAAAGCCAGATGTTAGTGCCCAGATGCCAACCATTGAACGACTATCCATGTCAAGATATTTCTACCTCTTTCCTGGCAATTGAAAATAGTAAGTATCAAAGCTGTTGGCAGGTATAACAAATGGGAAAGTGATACTGTTGGTGAGGTTCAATGGCTAATGACAGTCAATTGCTTGGTTAGTCAAATTAATGTTGCTTATTGATGTAGTTTAGTGACTAGATGTTATTTTTTCCTCTACTTATATGAATCTGGATCCTCCTCATCTTGTTAATCAATTAATCAGTCAGCCAATCAAGGAGATAAGCCAAACTGAGACAGGAAGTAATAAACAATCAAGTACACAGGGTAGTAATTAATAAAACATAAGTGTACTAGTGCTTCCATTATTACTTGATATTGCTCTCACTACACACACACACACACACACACACACACACACACACACACACACACAGAGTTACCAAACATTGCCTCAGGTCCTGAAAAGCAAAATAACAAACAACAACAATAAAAACAGAAAACAGAGGAGATAACTGTGAAGGAAGCAGGATATTGGTCCTTTAAGTGCAGATATCACATTACTGACCTTGAGCTCCTGATACCAAAACGGAATAAAATATACCCTGGACTGTAATTCATGTGTTGATGCAGATTCTGGCTCTCTGACTGTTCTCTCAATGTACATTGCAGAGTCTTCTCTCTGATCCATAATTCCTGCTCTGAAACCCTGTCAAACATCCATGTTTACACACATTTATTGTTTTTGGTAAATATATTTTAGAGTGGGCCTAATGAATTTAGACCCAGCTATTAATTTACTCACTTGTAACAGCTTAGTATCACACTGTATTGTAAGTATTGGTAATCTCTCTTTCAACAGCATAATTAAAATTATATTTTATAGTAAAGTTTATCTCACTACTTTAATTCTTCACCCACCGTCTTGTACTCCTGGTTTGTGATTCCCTGGTGGAATAATTGCATAGATAGTTCACCAGAATAGCTTTCATTGACTAGTTAGTATAAGAGAACCAAATTAGGGGTTGTGCTGTTTGACTAATATTTATCAAGCACTTACTATTTTCCATGTTCTGTTCTAGAATGTTGGAATATACCAGTATACAAAATAAATGGAAAGCTTTTGCTTCAGAAAGCTCATACTCTAGTTAGTGGAGACAGACTATAAATACACAAACAAGTACATATATGTCAGATAGTGATAAGAGCTAAGAAGAAAAATAAAGGAGGTTAAAAAAATGAAAGAGATGGGTGTTTTACTATAATGGATCAATTATTCCAGAAAGGCTCCTTTGAAGTGATAAAATAAGTCAGAACAGAGAGTGTGCAGAATCGGGTAGTGAACCTTGTGATTCTTGTAAGAACAATGTTCTAGCACCACTGGGACCAGCAAGCACAAATGCCCTGAGTCAGAAATGTGCTTAACATCTTTAAAGAACTGCCAAAAGGCAGGGGGCTGGGGGAAATGGCAGAGACAAATTCAGAAAATGGTGTATTTTGTGTTTGTTTGTGTGTTTCTTTTTCTTCTTCAGGGAATTACAGGCAGTCCTGTCCTTCTTTACCAACTTCTAGAAGCACCTTTGCCAGTATGGCACACATATTTAACCTTTTGTATTTAAATAAAAATGAAAACACATGAACTGTGTCTTTGGGTCCTTTACTAGAGACTAGAATTTCAGTTAAAATGGTGGGTGAATGGAAATGAAGTGGAGTAAGCTAACTGGGTTTTCTAGCTTAGGGCTCATAGAATACCTGCATTTCACTGAGTGAAAACAGCTGGCCTTGACTTTCCCTCTGCAGTGAGGTGAAAGGGGATGGTGCCTAGATGGAAGACAAGAACTGTAAATTGGTCAGCTCCTCAGTTGTATACTCATCAAACCCACGGTCTAGTACGAGGCATGCTTCAGAGAAGTTTTCTAATTTAATATTTAACCAACATCATAGATTCAAATAATATTTTTCAACAGTAAACTATTATTTTAGGAAATTATTCCCATGTGTCTTTCTATCACTTAATTAACTTTCTTGTTGTTTTCTTTCCAGATGTTTGCATATTTCCAAACTCAGGAAAATTTTATTCTCTAAGAAGCTCTTGGATATTGTCTAAAATAATTTGGCATTTGGTTCAAGATGGGACGACCTTACTGCATTTGTATACAAACACAAATATCTTCCGATAAAAAACAGAAAGAGAAAGGGGAGTGTCAGCAATAGGAGAGAGAATATTAAAATTTCTGGAAAGATGAATATTTGTAGAGAAATTTTGGCACCATGACTATCAGAGCTACTAAGTGAGGATATGTACTACTTCTGTTATATACACATAGAATGTTAATGAAATATTTGAGTACATACTTGAACTGACTTAAAATAAGATGTTCTCAGTTTCAAATATAATCATAACTGTCTATATTTATTAACACAATTATTAATAACAATATTTAATATTAAAATAATATGAACTCTATATTCATATTATTTTAATAAATGTGATTACTGTAAAGAATTTTATTTATAAGAAATCAATTGAACCATGACAGCAACCCTATAAAGTAATTACTATCAATATCTCTGTTCTACCTATAATAAAGCAAAAGTATATAGAGTTTAAATGACTTTCCAAAAGTCACTCAGTTAGTAGGTGGACACACCATGATTTGAACTCAATTTGACTTTCTCTAGAATCCAAGTTATTGACCACTGTTCTGCATTGTCTCTGCAAAGCCATGAAAAACAGAAGCTATAAGAGTTCAGAATTGCAAGGTTTAACTGAATTTTTAATTATAATGTTTAACTTACACTAGAAAGATTCATAATGTTTATATTTCTGGACTTGGATGTCTGTGTAGAAACATGAGACACATCACAAAGATCCAAAAGCACATACTATAGAGAATTCATCCTTCTACTGTGTGATAATATTAAAAATCCAATAACATAAAGATTTTCACACATCTCCACACAGTTGGAAACAACACACACACATGCACATATATATTAATATTTCATATGCATATACTAGCTACATACAAATGTAAACATATAAAAACAAGAAGGAAAAAAAGTGAACTATGCATTAATCTTGAGAATTCAGAAAATACTGAACCAATAAGAAAATAGGAAAATGAAAATAGATATTAAAACACAAAAATCAATGAGCTGTCATGAAAAAATAATAATTGAGCAGATCAAGGAATGCAAAAGCTGGTCTTTAAAAATACTAATAGCAGACATTCAGTAAGATTGAGTATGAAAAATAAGAATTAGTAGAAACACAATATAGATGATAAAAATGAACCATAAGTACAAATAAACATAAATACAATAAAATTATAAAATTGTCTGCCATACATAATATAGTTAAAATTCTAGAAAAGATAAATTAACAAAATTAATCCATGAAGAAATAAAAAGC